TTTTTTTTTTTTTTTTTTTTTTTTTTTTTTTTTTTTTTTTTTTTTTTTTTTTTTGAACAGGAAATATGTATTAGGAGCAGCCAACCACCTTATGACCAAGGGACAACAACACAGGCATTTGCCTAGGAGGAGTGTCGAACAAAAGGCCTCGAGAATTTTGAGCAAAGTGCCTCTGATTAAGAATGTTAATGATACAAGATCCAAAAAGATTAAACCAAGATTTTGACTTAGCAATATGATTCTGACGTTTGCTTCTACCCAAATGAGCAAATGAGAGCTCAAAAAACGATTTCAAATGCACCCCAAAGTTGCAGCTGACAGGAATAGCCATTTATGGACAACATGTGAAAGAGAGAGAGGTTCCATTGACCTACTTGTTAACGTGCTCTGACAGCATCATCGGTATGTGCACAGATATAAGGAGGGAGCACACTCTCCGGCATTTATAATACAAGATCAGCAATAAAGTGAAATACTATCGCCTGAGAGGCGTCATCCTAGACTATAATTTCCTAAGAGGGGGTCATCCACCATGAGTTAACAATGCATGTTCTCTTCATTGACAACCAGATAGAACACAATGTGATCATCGATTTTCCAGCGTAAGTGACGAGGACGACACCATCAACCATCACAATGGCTAAAAGCAACGAAAAGGAGGGGAAACAAGAGAACAAAACAAACCTCAACCCTGTCAGGGTCAAAATCAACATCTGATATTCCATCCACTGCCTGCTCCAATATCACCCTCCTAGCATCACCTTCACCAACTTTCTCGTCCTTCACATTGCCATCCATTGGATTTTGACAAAGAATATTGTCAGGAGCCCATTCCAGATATAACGGAGCGTCCCTAGGATAATGCCAAAATGAAAGAACCATTACTTTTAGGGGGAAAAAATCCAGCTTTTTTTTCAACCTTCCTTAGCAATATATAGGGTGAGAATTCAAACCTCTAGCCTTTTGATAAAAGATATAATACCTAAACCAATTGAGATATGCTCTTGTTGGCAAAAATTAAAATTAAAAATAAATAAAATAATAACTCCCCCACATGCTCACATCAATAATAAGAGAGGTAAAACTATATTTCAAATTTCAAAATAATTTGAAAACAATATAACCAAACACATATTCTCAAAGTGAGGGCAAAGATTAAAGGTAGCACTTGCATTTGTGCATCAAGATTTAATTTCGCCAAACACTTGACTCAAATAAACTGCACAAGATAGCATTTCAATGAACAAGGCACGCTCCATGTTCAATGCAACAAAGCTTTTGATCGAAGTAAAACAAGGGACACTCAAACAAGTAAATAACAAAAGGTAAAACTAAAAACAGAGCAGTGGAATATTCAAGCATTAAACATCAATGTTCAACAGATGAAAATGTTAATAGAAGGTAAAACTAAATTTAAAATACCACCGCTATTCACTATCCATACTAACCTAAAGTCATTGCTAACAAAGGGGCAGCAAATGAGTAATACTCAACACCTTCCCCATCCATGTTACACAACAAAAACTCTTATGGGATAAGACAAATTAAGAAATATCTTTTCTGGAAGATACACCAACTCATCGTTAATTATACTGCAACCACTCTATTTCCGCATAGTAGATAAAGATGTCATAATTCAAATAACTACAATACTTTTAGCATGATAGTTATACTTCAACCTATGATGCTTGCATGGTAAAACATAACTCCATTAAGCATATGCCACAAAATACCACAGTTGTTCTCAAACATATAAGAAAAGAGAATGAGCTCACTTGTAACGCTTGTATGCTAAACCTTTAAAAGCAGCACGGGCTACAGATGGCTCAAGAAAAATAACCTGATCTCAGAACAAAGCAGAGCAAAGGTTAGACGACAATAGATGAAATTGAGAAAGTCCATAAAGTTTATCATAAACAGTTAAAAGATTTTATCGGAGCCACCAATACTGAATGGTGCTTTAATCAATCCAGCTGATAAAAAAGTCAATCGTGAATAAATTATAATTGGTGGGCGTAGATGAAATCGTTTATTGTAAGATTAATCACGTAAGTGTTTAGAGAAATAATCAAGTCTATGATATATTAACTTATAAATATGTATATATATATATATATATATATACAGCAAGAATTACCAAAGCCAATATCTTTGTTGGTGGAAGAATGATCTTGTCCAGACTCCCAAATTTCTCAAACATATTTGCAAGTTCTCCTTCAGAAGAACCATAAGGCAAGTTTTTCACAAGAAGAATATGATTGCTCCTTTTGTGTCCATCAACTTTACCAGAAGCAAATTCCTCTAAAGATGCAACATTTACTCCAGCATTTGTGAGAGCCTTCTTTGTCTCTGCAACTACTTGAGTTTCACCCAAAGCAACTCGTACAGCAAGGTCATCAGACTCCCGGTCCAATAACTCACCCTTACTAACACCATATTTTCTAGCAATATTTTCAACAACCTACAGATAAAAGAAGAAAGGTACGTGACAACAAGCTCACAACAGAAATTTATTATTTACAAAAATGAGGGTGGAAGAGAACATTATATTTCATACCTTGTTATCATACTAATAGTGCCCTTGAAACAGCTTTTGACAAAAAAAAAATAATAATAATAATTAAAATAAAAAACACTTTTTCAAAAAGTACCTTTGAAAAAGTACTCATTTAAAGTGGGTTTAATATAGCATTTTGAGTGATTTTAGATTATTTAGATTATTAAAAGTGTTATTTTAAAATCATAACAAATAAAAGCATTTTAAAAAATTGGATCCATTTTAAAACTGTTAAAAGAAACACTAGAGAGATTAATTATACAAAAAGATTTTAAAGTGATTGACCGGAAATCTTCGAACTATGTAAGAACAAAAGGAACATATTTGTAAGTAATAGAATCACATTTGAACGTAGTGCAACCAAATAAATTTGTTAAAGATACAAAAAAATAATAATAATAAATAATAAATAATAAATAAATAGATATTTAAGCAAGCGGAAGAAAGTAATAGACTAGGTTATGTCATACTGTATCAGGGCGCATGAATAAACTATTCCATGCTCTTGTATTGCCACTAGCTTCAGACGCTTTTCTCTCTTCCTCTCTCTTTTTCTTGAAGGATTTTGACCTTTGGTCCTCTAAAATATTTTCCCTGTTGAGTGAGCAACATTCACCATTAAACATATTGATTTGAGTGGGGCGGAAAGAAAATAGCAATAGCATTCAAAATTGGGCAGTCCAGTCACAGAGAGCATACACTAACGGAACTTACTCTGGTTTCTCGAATGTTTTCCTCAGTTGAGCGGGCATGACATGCAATAATCGCCCTTGGAAAATTGAACTGTCCAATTCTTCAAGTGCCCTTCAGTTAAAATAGAATTGAAAATTTTTGTTAATAGGTTCAATCGTTTCAAGGATGTACATGAAGTGACAACATAGACAAGCATACTACTGTTATTTTATTTGAAGTTAAAATCTGAAGTTCAAAAGAGAGCGAGAAAGAAGAGGAAAATCGCCATAAAACCTTAATAATTTCAATCTTCAACTTTTTCCCATAGATCTCTAAATTAGACCAATCCAACAACCTAGAAGGAGGTCGAGATTAACTATACATCCTCGACTTAGCCATTAAATCCACAAGAAATACAATATGTCAAGACAAACAAAGATAAATAGGAACAATGACGCGAGTAAAACATTTTCATTCACCAATCGGTTACCTTTTTGCAAATTCTGGATGACTGTAAAGGATATAAGCAATGCCTTTAGAACGTCTTGTATCTTTATCAACTACAAGATGTACCTCCGAGACAGTGCCATATTTTCGGAAGTGCTCTTCTAACTCTTCTTCGCTGATGATAAAAGTTCAAAAAACATATTTTTAAAATCCCTCTATTTACAGAAAATTTGCATGAATAAAATTTAAACAAAAACAAATAATTGGCACAGTTGAATAATTGCAGAAAAGATAATTACGTCGCTGCATATGGAAGATTACGAACAAAGAGTCTCCCATTCTCCAGCATTTCATCCTTCTTATCTTCCAGAATTGAAGAGGATTCCTCCATGTGGAGTAAATCTGCATCACAATGATTGGAATGGTCCTCTTCTTCGGCCTCTGTTTCTAGTGGTAACTCGGAATCTACCATCTGAACATCCTTCATCTCCAATTTTTTCTTTATAGTTTCATCCTCATTTTTAGCATCCTCATCAATATTATCGTCATCACTGGTCTCTGAATCTGACCATTTCTTCGTCACCCTGCTGTTAAAATATTCCATATCCGAAATTTTATCATCATGGGCAGAGTTAGTATGCAATGAAGTTTTCATTTCCTCAGCTTTATCTCCATCAACATTCACCAACTTCAGTTGGTTTCCATCTATCTTTTTCATGTGACTTGGTTTCTCCTTTCCTTTTCCGTTTTGATCAGTTTCTGGAGCCATCAAAATGTCATTTGCCCACACTTTTGAATTAACCCGAGGTTGTGTCACTTGAAGAAACTCGTGGATTTTAGGGTCATCATCTTGAATACTCAATTTAAGGTCATCACCCTCTTCTTTAGACCCCAAAAAACTTAAATTTTTGTCATCTTCTACTTCCATCCCATCCTTAATGCCCTTCTTTTCTTTCGAATGTTTACTCCAAGGTCGGGGAATTTTTGGATCCCCAACTTTCCATGCACTCTGAGAAAAAAAAAGTAGGGTTTAGTAATAATCAAGTCAACATATGTATCTTCGTATCCTGAGGGCTTCAGGGAACTTTCTTCACTACCTATGCACTCTAATTGATTATCTTTACACAAGCAAAACAATTCAACCTTATCAAAGATATGATTCCAACTGAAGATCTCATACACAGAATACTTAATCAACATACTTCGCAAAATGACCAGGCATTGCCATTGCAACACAACTCGATCAAAGAAAATATATGAAACCATCTTGTATAATCACTTTCTTTTCTCAAATTGAAACCGAAATAACATCACTGAAAGATCAAAACAAAAGTGGAAGATAAGCCACCTCCCTAGCCATCACAGGGCTTGAAAGGCAACCAATTGTCAAAAAGTAAAAAAGAAAAAAAAAAAAAGTTACACCAAATAGAAGCTAGGCATTTGATAAGGTCCCAAAGGTCTACGAAAACTAAAATTCTTTTCTTCAAAGATCCTTCTATTCCTCTCCATCCAACAAATAGTAGTTTTTCCTATATGTAATCCAAATAACTAAAGTGATATAGTCTTCACCTTAAACAAATGCCCACACAAATGCGAAATGACACTTCATTAGCAATAATTGTAGCAACAGGTAAACTAAGGTTTGATACGTTCTGGAAGAATCAAAAGGTGTTAGGGTTTAGGAGGCAAATAAAAGACCGAATCACTAAACCAATGGAACCATCAAGAAATCTAATGTGTTTGATATGAGATGCTTCTAAACTCTCATGATCCTAAACCCTTTACTTTTCCACTATCCTCTTAAATTTTGTTAAGAGCATACCTTCATTACAATAACATTATAACTCCAACTAATACGTATACTTTCCACGTCTTGTTTGAGCACTTGAAGCTAATGAATGAACAAACAGCCCGAAACATACATAATAATGTCCTCAAGAAGAATAGCAAGCATAATCAGAAGAAAGCAAAATAGGTTACATCCTTTAATTTCTGGGAAAAAATCACATCTTCCTTGTATTGTGTTTGAATAGTATTGTGATTGGTGCTAATCATCAATCATTTGATGTTTTGGTACTATATGGTTGGAGTGTAGAGTTCAAATTTCTATAGTAACAAAAGATCACAAGCAGAAAACTTCCCCGGACCAAAAGCAAAAATATGAAACATCACCAATAATGTAAAATAACAAGAAATAGAAAAACTGATACAAGGCCAAAGAGTACTACAGACCTCACAGGCGATCCTGTGAGTACTGAGAAAAGATTTGTTGAAATAATGTATCGCTGCTTGAGCTTCATGCTCCGTGCGAAACCCAATGAAAGCAAATTGTCGGCTCTTCCCATCCCTTGAAAAAAAAAAATTAAGAAGAAAATAGCAACTGTAACCAAAATCTATGAAGAAAAATCATTATGATATCCAGTAAGAATCAAAATGACACAACCAAAGGCAGAGACATTCAAACGAATCAAGAATGGGATATGAAAAATACTTGGTCCGCATAAGCTTAACATCTGTAATCTCTCCTTTATCAGAGAACAAAGTACGAAGGCGATTGTCATCTATGAACTTGGGCAAATTCTTCACACATATCCTAGACCTGTTATGCAGAAAATTCTTAATCAAATTTCTTTTAGAAAATAACATACTTTTCCATTTTCCAGGGGGACATATGAAACTTTGCAAGCAAGGACAAGAGTGAGCTCACGTGGAATCAGTCATTGTAACTTTGAGGCAATCTGATCAATGAGGCTTCTGAATACCCACGTGAAACTTATAGGATCTAGATGCAACCTGGACGAAATCATAAACAAAAGGCGTAAGTTGCTCAATGCCACTCATTAAGCTAGAAGGTAAAGAAACACACAGATCAGAACATAACCCAGACGAACTATCCTTGCTGTTAACAAGAAGATATTAGACATCAAAAGGCGTAACACAAATATTTCATCCAAAAGGTTTAAGGTATATCTAATCTACCCTGAAAGTATCTAAGGCTTCTTAAATCAAGTAAATGAAATTCAAAGCATATATATACGGCTCTTATTTCTGGTTAATTTAAAGAATCAATGGTTATCGTATTGGTCAATCCAAGAGAGTTCCAAATTTATCAAAAGAAACATACACATTGTCTTCTCTCCAACTGCAGTCTACAAATATAAATATGGTTGATATTGGTCAATTAAAATAACTCCTACAACCTAGGAATTAAAAAGCGAATCAGATAGTGCGATAGACTACTTCGAGTGATCCTCTGATAAACAAAGTAGAAGGGAGATTCTGTAAAATTCATGATCGCGGAGAAAAGCTAACTTTCAGCTGAGCACAGCGATCAAAGCCTCAATTGCAGCAAATCAAAACGGCAGTACACCCACGCCCCCATAACCACAAGGCTTTTTTCCTCGTTTCCATTCGGCTATTCTTATTAACGATATATAAATTAAACAACAACTCCTCCATTCTTTCATTAGACCAGTCTTAATTTGTGTTTTCCAAGTGAGAAGAAAGACATATGCAGATCGGTGGAATACCAGTAACAACAACAGTGTAGAAATCGGCGCAGGACCGCTTGGAGGACGCTGCGGTGGCGAAAGACGGCGGCGGCGGCGGTGGCGACACCAAGTGATGAGGAGACGACGTGAAGAAGAAGAAGAAGAAAGTGGCGCGAAGCATGGGACAGTGAGAGGAAGATTAAAAAGTTAGGTTTTTTTTATTTTATTTTATTTTTTTCCTTTTCCTTTTTTTTTTTTTTTTTTTGAAAAATATTCACTTTTTTATTAATTGATATAATTCAAATTACCAAAAGACCCATCCCTCCAAATTAAATAAATCAAATCTTAAAATTATATATTAATTAAAAGTAAATTAAATCGAAAGTAAATTAATATACTAAAAGAATTCGTATTAGCCTCGTAATTTTAAAAATTTAAAGACTACGCGTTCTCAAAAAAAATATTATAAAAATTAAAAATTAGATTAAAAACTAATTTTTATAATAAGATTTCGTTTCAAGTACACTACAACTATTGTTTCCAAAAATAAATAAATAAATAAAAATCAATATATTAAATAATTAAAGAGGATAAATCCAACTCTTGGGATGAAAAACAACAGGATTTGTTTTTCATAACATTATTAAATTAATTAAACACAAGAATTTGTACTTAACCTGTGCGTGGGATTTTTTTATTTTATTTTATTCATTTTCGAGAAAAATGTACTTTCCAACATTACCCTTTTCTCTTATTAAATATTTTATCTTTTATAATTTAAAATGTATGAATATAAAAATGTTTTATTATATATAATATAAAATTTAACAACAATAATATTTCGATAATTAGAATTAAATACATATATAAAAGGACAAAAAAGGGAATAGGGGGGGCAAAATGGTAAATAACAGTGAAGTGAAAAGGAGACATGTCTAGGAACTTGTTGCTGCAGCCATGAGGGAAATGTCGAAAGCCGAGTTGTCGTAATGCGTGTACCACCACCAGTTCATTCTCCACCACCGTTCTCTGAAACCCTAATTCACCACCGCCGTCCTCCGCCGTCCTCCGCCGTCCTCCGCCGTGCCTGTATCAGCTACACACAAAAAATAAAGAATAAAGAATGGAGAAGGGAAGATTAAGGGAGCTCCCTTCAGTCCAAGAAAGGAAGGTTTAAGATTCAATCTGTCTCCTGCGTCATTCACTCATTTAATGAGCCATTTTGAACTCAATATTTGGATGAATGAGTCAGCAGCTAATTGAATCTCACCGCCTCCCATTAGTGGACTAAAGAAAGCTCCCTCTTTTACGCCTAAAGTTTCAAACTTTGCACGACCCAATTCAGATATGGAGCTTGGTTGTAAGTTCCATAGCCATGGAAGGCCTGGGAAGCCTTCAAATTTCGAACCAGGGTTGTGAGAAGAAGAAGAAGACGAAGAAGAGGAAGAAGGAGATGGAGTGAGAGATTTGAAGGGAATTAAGGGGTTTTATAGGGGAAATTAGATAGAATTGGGGAGTTGTATCCAAAAATAAAGAAATTGAAGGGTTTAAATGAAAGTTTGATGGGTTTTTGTTGATGTTTATGGAAACCCTACTTTAAATTAGCCCATACGAGCATAGTTCAACTGATATAAACGTTGGATTAAACATAAAAAAGTTTATGGGAAACCCTAATTTAAACTAATTGCCAATACGAGCATAGCTTAACTGATATAAACGTTGGATTAAACATAAAGAAGTTTATGGGAAACCCTAATTTAAACTAATTGCCAATACGAGCATAGCTCAACTGATATAAACTTTGAATTAAACATAAAAGGAGAAGACAAAGGAAGTGTGAAAGTTGGTAAGGTTTGTTTTTGCAAGGTAAGATGTTTCCGATGAGCACAACCCATTTCGACAAACTTTTTGCCCTTTTCCTTTGTCCCCAAAAGAACAATCGCTAACGATGCAAACTTGTTCCAATCAAACCCTTTAACTCAATGTCTAGATTTGAAAAAAGATTGAAAGGATTGAATTCTGGATTAGGTCGTTACAAATGGTATAAAAGCAGTATTTTCTCGCGTTAAAATGTAGTTTGGATAGGAACCAAGATAGAAGCTAGTGGGCATGTGTCACCCGAGCAAATAAATGATATATGAATGAACCAATATCATATTCGAATAAGGGGGATTTTGAGTATAAGATAGTTAAGAAATACATAAAATAATTGAAATGATTACTACTCTATTCACTCTTGATACAATACTGAACGAAAGTGGTGCAAAACCTATGGTTGTTTTAACCTTTTTCGTTGAGTTGGTTTATGTTCGGGCTCGAGAACAAGTACTTCATCACGTGGGTTATTATTGAGAACATTTGATATTAGTGAAAATGTTCTTATCGGTGTTGTTAAGAATATCGTTCTTCTTAAAGTCTCCTCTAACTTGATTATTAGTGAGTAGTCGTAGTAGTTGAGTCACTCGAGCATCATTTTCGACTCTAATATCGAAACGTGATTGACGTAAATTGTGAAGGTAATCTTAATTTATTGTTACCATTATTAACCTCTAGTTGAATGGGGTGAAATTAAAATTAGAATTGAAGGAGTAGAAGAAAAATAGAAAGAAAAGCAAGTCAATGATAATTTATTTAAAGATGAAAAGAAACGACAGTGGCAGTCAACCACTATTTCATGTTACAACGCATGTCCTGAGGACACAACAAAATAGGGCCTCACAAAATGAAAAGATGTGGGACATTATTATTTTCTATTTTCTCTAATCATTTTATTATGAATTTATGAAATTTATTATTCACTTAGATTGAAAATCACTTTATTATAATGTTTTTAAGCTTTACAGTCTTAATCTAGATTAAGGCATCCAAATATTTGAAAAGTATTTTTTTTTTAAATTTAATCGTCAAAATATAACCATTTTATCTTTATTTTTTGAATTTTGTAATGATTTTTTAAAGTAAAAATGTTTTATACTAAAATTCCCACTAAATTGTTACAAGTTTTAAATTTTAAAAACTAATTTTTTTTTACACTGAAGTTAAACTAATTTGATCTACAATTCTGATAAGAGTTTATGCTAGAATCTTCCGACTGAATTTGAGGAGACATAAACCTAAACTTCTAACATGTATGGGACTTCCTAGAATTGAGAAACCTTTTCGATCTTATTAACCAAAGAAATCAAGCTACAAATTGCTGGACGTGTAGACAAAAAAGAAAAAAAAAATTACACCTTAGTACTCCTTTCTTCACAGGAATCCAAGACTACAGAGTAGTCCTCACCGATACCAGTCCATAATGATCAAAGTCGAAATGTGGACCTACTTGACTTTTTTTTTTCTGAGTCTCGATGCCAACTTATGCTCAATTGTTGGGCTTTGATCTCAATCATAAAGTTGCTTATAGTCTCAAAGTCGACCATAGTGCTCTTAGTCGGTTAACCTAGGTCTCTACATTTTGCCCTTACTAAAAAAAAAAACTATATAAGAAAACAAAGGGGGTGAAATAAACATTATAATTATAAAATTTGAGCTTCCAACTTTCTGAATCAATATCAAACCAAAAAAAGCTGCAAATTGCAGGCTTTGGTTATTCAGGAAATGGCACACTTTTCTTTTACCATTTGTCTAATCAGCCATCACTGTCTCTTCTCTTTCTCTTTCACTTTTCTCTCTCTTCTGTAAATCCATGGCTTGCCTTCTCTCTCTCTTCCCATGCTTGCTTTATAACCATTATTGGTCCATTTTATAAACAGATATACATTTTCTCATCTTCTGGGAAGACAGTGATGTCTCTGCCCTAATCAACCAGAGACTTAGATTCCCATTGATTTTTGTACTCTTCACAGAAAAAAGATCAATGATTGGACAATTCATTGGTTACATTTCATTACCTGAAGCTAATTAAGCTCACCCAGGAACTATATAGAAATACAATGATATTTCACCATACCCCATTTTCTACATGTTACAAAGAATGAACCAAAACATCACAATTCTTATGTTACATAGATTCTAAATCATTTTCCTTCTGCTCAAGGATAACAGTAGCAAGTGCAACTCGGTATGCTGAAGATCTTAAGTTCCTAACAAGGACGTAAATTTGTTCTTTCTTTTTTGAAAACATACCGTCGAACTGTTGCTCTCGAAGACGAGCTAGTAACGTTGCTTCACAAAGACCCTCTGCAACCGGCTTCTTGCTGCAGGAATGATGTCAAAATATCATAACTAAGAAGAGAATGATGTGTTATTATACATATGAAGTCTATGTTTTGAGATAACCGTAGTATCCGAACCTTCCGTGAACGAATCCAGTGGTGACGAAGCCGATGGGCCACCTGTGAGATTCTCCAGCAGCATCATTTTCTGGTAATTGTAGTTCCCACATTGTGGGCGACTGTTCTCTGAGTTTGAAGTAGTGCCTTACAGCAGATTCGGGAATTCGGAGTGCTTTTTCGTCGTCTGCTGATCTGCATGAACATATAGAATGAATGTTAAGTGCCAAACTTTTGCAACATTTTAACGAAGTAAAGAAAAGATAAATCACCTTGAAGTCCACAAAGATAGATCAGCTGACTTGGGAGCACAAATAACAGCTCCCTCTTCAAACGCACCTTTCTTATAAGCGCGGAGAATCACTCTAAGGAAACATGATTTGCTGCTATAACTTATTCGGTCGATACTACTTTTGCACTGATCTAGTGTGCTTTTGTTGTTAAGATACTCGAGAATTCTAGCCTTTTTATCTCGTCCATGAGGAAACAGAGGCAAATGCCCAAGGTTTATTTCATTCAAAAATTCAAACAATGAAGAAGATGTTCGAGCCACGATTCCGTTGAACAATTTCTGATCGTGAACACCAACCACTGCAGTTTCACAATTTGCATCATCAAATATCGATGATGAATCGGTGTGAGCCATATTTTTCTCAGTACAAGCTCCATTGCTCTCCACTCCATCACATTCCTTGCTAAGTGTCAACTGGACACTATGCCATGGGGGTGGAATGGGAACCCTAAAAGATCTTGAAAAGGAAGAAGAACACTCAGCTTTGTTGTCAACTGCGGTAGATTCTTTTGTCATGAATCGTGAGTACGCAGTACAATCAGGGAAATCCCAAGGAAACGATGGCAATCCCACCTACAATTTAAGCGAAGGGAGATATAGGTAAGTAAATATGTG